GTGCTTCAGCTAACTGACGAGCACGTTCTCGATTTTGCTTTTCCTGCTGAGCCATCTTTCGGTTTGCCTCATTCTCTTCAACAAGGGCCCGGAACTCTGGATCAGTGAGTATTCGTGGCAACCCTTCACCTAGGAGCTTGTGGCTGGTTGTTTTCTTCTTGTTCTCCTTGTTGGCTAACTGGCGTCATAGTCGGTGATTGTACTGAGATCCCAGAACAAGCTGTGTGTAGGCAACAATGAGGCGTTCAGCAAGCTCCGCATTTCTTTCACGAGACTCATATAGCTCGTGCTGAAGTGATCGGACCTCTTCAAGAAGGGCATGAGGATCAAGCTTGCGGCATGCTTGTGGGGTTGCATGTCCCATCCAGCGCAAATTCCCATGTGGCCCCAGAGGCTGATATACAATGGGTATAGGGCCTTGGGAGGATTTAATTGGTGTCTTGCCAACAAGGAACCTTGCTGAGGATGTTTCCAGGCTTGTATGGATTTGATCTTCAAAGTTTGGATGAATCTCGGGATGATGAGAAGTGCTGACCAGGTCATGGTGGTGATGGGTTCTGTGAAGGGCTGGGGTGCTGGGTGTGTCTAGAGGAGATTGGATTGATCCATGCTGTGTGCTTGTTTCGCCCAGAACCACATCCCACATAATTGCAGCTACACGTTTCACAGGGGTTGGAAGTGTCATTGGGAGTGCCCCTTGGTTCGAAAACTCCATGCTAGGTTTCATCTGACATGTGGAGATGACACTGGGATTGAATGGCTCAATACCAGTAGCAGCAAAGGAGGCAGTGATGTTCTCATGAGTGAAGGCCTCTATATGTGCAGCACCATAAACTTCAAGGAAGTTTTCTTTTGCAATACGTCCAACGTGTGTATCCCTCCATTGCTGTAGCTGCTTTGACCATGCACGCTTGAGTACAGAGAAGACAACGACATCGAGACCTTGGAGCACATGGGTGGTGTGAGCGGGGAAACAAATGATCACAATGTTGTGTGCAGCAGCATAGTCAAGGAAACCCATGGTGCAGTGAGAGTTATGCCCATCAAGAATGAGTAGCCTGTACTCATTTTCGTGAGCAAGCTTGTTGCATGTTTGTTGATCAAAAAGTTGAATCCAATCAACACTGATTTCACCATTAGTCCAGCCTTTTGCTGATACTGTAATGCTGTTCTGACACTGTAAGTTGCATGATAACTCAAGGTTAATTATTTACGTACGCTGCACCAATAGGATTATTTCAACCCCACTTCTCAAGCAAGTATTGACCCTTGAAGATCACGACAGGTGAAAGAGCAGTGCCATCGGCACAGATGGTACACATGACTGTGACATTCTCATGGTTCCCATCTTCAACAGCATGTTGTGATTTTGTCCCAGGGCGGGTGAGAACACGCTGCTTTGACCCTTTCCCAACTGGAAAACCGGACTCATCGAAATTATAGATATTGCATGGACGGAACTGGTATCTATCTCGGACCCCTTTGACCATTTCAAACCACTTCTTGACATTGGTTGGGTTGACAGCCGAGGCACGGACTGTATCAAGGGAGGTGCTCCATTTTGCTGAGAGATGGTCCCCGTACTTGGTGAGAAACTTCTGGGCCCAACTTGGTCCAAATCTCTGCACTTCAGGATTACTGGCTTTTTTTACCTCAAGGGCATAACGAGTAAGGACTTCGTGAGTGAGGGGGAAGCCCCGATCAGCCATTCCAATCGCAAAGTCAATGAGAGTCATAGCCTCTGCATGACTGAGATGCGAGTTCTTCTCAGCCCATTCAGATTTGGTTTTTCCACCTTTGACATGGTATCCCAGTGCCCTATAGCCTATTCCAAACTGATCGGCAATAACTCGGAGGCCAGCAGGCTTCCGGCCTTCCAACCTAGCATTCTCTTGTTCAGCCATGTAAGCTGCCACAGCTGCCTTCTGTGTTGCTTCCAAGTCTCTCAAGAGCGTGTGGTGAGCTCTTGCCTTAGATTGTGGCCTTCCAACCATCACTGAAGTGTGCAGAGAGGGAGAGATCAAAGGTTGATCAGCGCGATCGGAGGTGATTTGGTCACGTGATAATATCACTGCCACTCCGAGAATTCAGCACTTGCTCCGCTTTTGTAGTGGCAAGTACACAAGTGGAGGTGTCAAAAACATGTTCCCATTACGTGCTCTACCTATCACTGTCACTGACAAATCAAACTGAGCAGTTTTATTGACAATTCACAGCACTATGGAACAAAATGTGAATTCAGTTGATGCAAAAATCAAGAAAATCCACGGAATTTTGCTTTTTTTAGGATGAATTTTGAAGCATTTGAGCTCATATTTGGCATGCCATCAGAGGGGAGATATATTCGTTTTATTGGATACATATTTAATGCATTAGTTAAGTCATTTATGAACAAAATCACCGTGTGCATCTTAGAGGTGTGTGCATTTCGGAAGCAAATGACTGTAATAAAAGTGTCAGGATTCCAGTATCTCTGACTCCTGATGATAGTCCAGAGTGACCAGGAGTACAATGGTAGCAAGGGGTGGAGGTGTTGAAGTAGTTGTGTGAGCAAACTCACATAGCTAAGATGGAGACTGGCAATGAAGGGTAATAACTCTGCATAGTATCCATCCATCATGACACAATTCACATCAATGCCAACCTCATTTTGTTGATGACTGTTTGCTCAAGTGCTGTTAGCAAGTGATCTTGGGGTAGCTGTGGAAAGAGAGTCAGACACCACCAACAAACAGTGTTAGTCAAGGAAGCCCCAAAAAATCCCTAGATGAAACTAATAGTTAAAGTGAGCACAAGGATGAAAAGTAATCTGCAATACTTGACATACCTGATGATTGTCATATCCCAGAATCCTGACCCCATACTCTCCCACCTCATTACACCTTCCTAACAACCTCATCATCCCCTACACCATACCTCCCCACTTCCCAAAGTCACCCAACATCCTTCAGATATGTAACTCCGGCTTCAGAGCTACCTGCATCCTCTGGTGATCCCGCTCATGTCATCATAAATTAGTCACCTCCCATTTGTAGTACAACTGTTGTCTTCTTTCCATTCAGTCGGCTAACCTCCCCTTACCCATTTCTCATTCCCATTTATCCTCTGGCCTTCTACTCCACCCTCCTTGACCTGACACCTCAGTTCCCTGTTAAAGATATCATTCAGGACCTTTAGATACCTTTCGGTGTTTGTCATTATCACTCGGACTTTGACTAAAGCCCTTCCCCTCCTCCCTCTATATATACTTGTAGATTAGAACCCATTGTACCTCAGTTCTAATCTCGACTAAACTTACCCCAAGTCCCTCTATGAGTGAATCCTGACCCCCTCCTACAAGATACCTCAGACACATGAAATCAAAGGACTAACTGAGACATAACAGAGGCACAGCGCTCCCTCTGAGTTGCTGAGGCGGCATCCTTCTTAGAGCCTCTTGTACCACCCAGCAGACTCGGGCTTCCTGGAGAAGCTTCAGTTCACTACCGGAGCTCTCGGAACCCCTCTAGTTGAGCCCTGCCTGCATTCAGATTCATGCCCTCTTTCAGGGTTTCTGACAATGATGTGCATGGACAGTGGAAGGATGGCTGGGAATTTTGTGACAGGCCCATAGTATGGATGGTAGAGAATGTGGAGGCGATTCCAATGCATGTTGTGTGAGGAGAATCAGATAGGAACTCATCAAGAAATGAGGATTTCAGATGTTGTGCCACATTGGATGTCACATGTCCATTGCACATGTGTGGGAAATGGGCTGCACAGACAGTCTTTAGTGTCCCTCAGACTTTGGAAAAATAGGGAAAAATGATCATTGTTTATGGTGTGATTGGTCAGGAGGATCTACCAAATTTGGGATTATGGGGACATGTAGTTGGAAAGTTTGAAAAATGTGCCAGTCATTCCCCACTATTTTCCCTATGTCACCAATTTGGACATGGTTTGTTGCATTGGATGGCCATAGTTAAGGCAAGTGGGTAGACATGAAGGGAGCACGGTTGTGTTGAGTAGTTTGGGCTGGAGATGCAAGTTGGGATTTCCACAGCCACTTTCTATTGTTTGATATTTTGTTGCTTGTGATTTTGTGTTCTCATTTATTTTCTCTTGCAACAAGTACAGAGGAGTCATATGGAACCATCTGGAAGCTTGCAGACATATTCAGGGTCAGTTGTATATAGGATTAGGTAGTTTGACTATGTACAGAGAATCTCCCCCTCCCCACCTAGCTTGGAGTCAGTGCACTCTGGGGTGCGACAAGAGTGGTCCGAGTATAATCCTTAGGGCGATTCCACCCCACAGTTGTTTTAGTTGAGTAGTCCAACAAGTTGGTGTTGGCTGAGTTTTCATTTGTGTGTTAGTTTTTTTAGACCTGGTCTAGACAACCTAGCCACCCTCTTGGGCCCCCACTCTCCTTCCCTGTCTCATCAGGGAGTTGGCTGGAGTGGTTTCCTTTCATCCCCCCCCTCTCTCCCCTCTGCAGAGTCCATTCCTGCTTGCAGTGCCCAGAGGCCACATTGCCCTGGATGGCTTTCTTGATCATTTGCTGGGGAAGGACGAAGTTCTTTACTGCACAATTACTGTGCAATGTGGCAACCTAAAGGCCCAGCACTTCCAGCTTGTGAGGCTGGGATGTGAGTGTCTGAGGGGTGCATGCACAGTGGGGAGGTGATTCCATGGGGCCAATGTTCCAGCATTGAGTCCACTTGGTTTTGAGACAATGTTTGCACTTCACTGCTGATCAGTCATGTGAAATGATGGGATATTGTCTTGCAAACCAATGGGTCTAAGTATAATATTACAAAGTCATAGAGGCTGGAGTCCTGCCTAGGGTCTAAGCCAACAGGCAACTTGTACCATTTGCCATGGGTCCTCTCCTTTATCTGGCATCAGACCTTTTCAGATTTTATCTATGCTACTTTAAATAAACACATGTAAATTTGAAATACTGCTTTCTTTCAATCTTATGACCACCTCAGATAAACCTTCTCTTACCACTGCCCACAATGTCTACCTCACCAAGTCTGCCTTCTGATTGCATGATTTCCAGACACCATCAAGGGACTGGTACTGACACTTGCTGATTAGACTCCCATCAGCACTGATACTACTAATGAAGCTGATGATGGGACTGATACTGATGAAGCTCTCTCTGGTGACATATCCACCACCAAGAACATTGAGGCTGCAATTAAGAAGCCTGTGGCTCTTTATGCATTGCTTCATTCACCATTTTTGTCCAAAAAGTCCATCAAGCGGAACTTAGTGGTGATTTCCATTCTTGGACAACTGAGAAAGCATTTTCATCTGAAGAAAATTTCAATCAATTTTGTGTCCACAAAAATTCTTGAATTGAGATACCCAATATTGACAAAGGAGCTCCATATGGATTCTGGAGCTATCCCTTGGTTGGCTAAGGTATGTGACATTGTAAGGGATGGGTGGTAGAGTGGTGATGCATGCAAAGTGCACTTTCTTTATTTGATCTTTATTCTTTGTATACAATGTAAAACAACTGTATTCATATATGTATGGCTCAGGCTCAGGTAAAGGGTTCTTCACTCTTTACCCTCAACCTGAAGTCAAATCATAAGCTCCATACAGCCTAGATCTTGACTACTGAGGATTGAGTCAACCCAGGCCAGCACCCCAACTGGCCTTACAGACATCCTAATGACCTTCCATACAACTTCCTCTGCTTAAACACTTTCCATGCAACTAGTTTGTTGCTGATGTTGGGGCATGGAGGTGCCAAATGTTGGACTGCTGGGTGGAGTTAGGTCAATTATCACATGCTTGATTGTTTGCCCTTGCACATGATAGTTAGTGCATTCACCCCAGTAATAGGAAGCTGTTTCCGTTTCACTGATTTCACCTTTCCCCCTGCCATTCTTAATTGGTATGTTCATTCCTACAGGAAAATCAGCACTACCCCTTCTGGTAAATTGCTGACCTGCCTTGAATGACCATGTTCAAGCTTCAAAAGGATGCAGCTTGGTGGGTAACACAGTGATACTTGGGACTGCCACTGGACTGTTTCAGCCTCCTTTGGATCAAGGATGACTTCCACAACTTCACCATGAGTGCCATTTGCAACATTCATATCTGTGTTTATATTCAAGGTTACCATGACCTTTGTGCTGATTGCAAAGTAAACAATATTGGGGAGCTTGTACTGTTGAGGACAGTGTGGCTTTTATAGCTTGTTCTGGCCAAAGACCTTCACCACTGACTTTTCTCAATGCAGACCTAGATTGTGGAATGGATGATATTTTCCCAGTATTTTTTGTAATTCCTAGCATGATTCAACTCATATTTCATTTCAAGCTATCACTGATTCCCCACAAATTATCTCTTTTTGTGACTTTGATTTGACAGTTCCTCTGTTCATTCAACAGCTGCACAAGAAAGTGTCAGACTCGTGATTAGCAGTACAGTAGCATGTGATCCACAAGCAAGGTCATGGTTGCAAAGCAACCTTTCTAGTACAGGGTGTTCAAGATTCATATATTTGACCCCCCCTTGCAGTTGCCAACCCCACTTGCCAACATTCAAGTGCCACCAAACTTTCAGTTGCTGCCTTTGGGAGTCTGAGTCAGAAATGTTCTCCAATGCAGTGTTTGCACATCTGACATTCCCCTTTGTCCTTGTGCATCAGGCTGCCACAACAACACAGATGAGAACTACACATGATATAATGGGAAAACTAGGAACAATATGAGAAGGTGCAAAAAAAGTTTCCCAGAGGTTTGAAGTGCTGAGATGACAATGTCAATAAGACAGGCGATACAGGGTACAAAGGTTGTGCAACTGCAGATTTGAAATTAATGTTATGCATGGCTTGCTGTTGTTAGAACTAGGTGAGAGCGGACAATTCCGGAGGGGAACCAGAGACTTAGCAAGGAGGGACCTTGGCCTCAGCGACTCATGCAGAGTGCTGTGCCATTGCTGTTTGTCCATTTGGTCCTTAATTTCAGAGGCAGTGAGCAGGAAGTCTCTAGGGGGCATTTCAGGTCGATTTTAGACTATGGGCCTAAAATGAGTATGTACAAGTGCCAGTATATAATGGAGAGGGTGTCATATCCATACAATCCCGACCTCCGCTCCGGGCTCCCGGAACTCCGAACCTGACTTCCAGAGTCATGCTTCCCTTCTGCCACCTCCTCTTTGCCGACTTCCAAGAGGTTATCCCACCTCCGGCTCCAACACCACCTTCAGTCCGACTCCAGAACATTCCGGGTCCGACCTCATCCTCGACACCTTCCAGATGAGCATGCAACACCTATGTTCCCGACTCCGGACCTCTGCTCCGGAATCCTGTTTGCATCTCTGTCTCCGGAACCTCCGGTCTTAGCTCCGACCTCGGACTTTGACCCCACCTCTGCTTATACCCATTGTATTGGTTAGCTCATTATGTTTGCCAATATTCCGGAGTTTAACCTCCGAGTTCGGACTTTCCGGACTTACTCCGGACCTTGCAACTATTGCATTGTCCATTTCAATTCCGCTATTCTCCCTCATTCCTATTTGGGCTGCTGCTTCCTTCTATTCAGTCAGCTAGCCATTCCCGACTCCCATCCTCCTTCCTTCCTTCTTGGGCCTTGGCCCTTCATTCCTCCTTTGGGAAACACCATTGAGTCAAACACTTGACCCTCGGTGTTGTTCCTCTTTCCATCTCCCTTTGTCTCCTTTTGTCCTACCCTTGTTCCTTTTGATTCCGGACCCCTCCTTATATACAATGTACCTAGTAACTTGTAACCTCAGTCCGAAATCAACTTGAATTCCCAAGAGACTTTCCCTCTGCTAGATCCGAGGACCCCCAGGACAACCAGCAATGGCACAGCGCTCCACCTGAGTCACTGAGGCCAAGGTCCTTCCATGCTAAGTCTCTGATTCCACTCCGGAGTCGTCCAAATCCGCATGGTTCTAACAGAGGGCGAAAGCATGAGGAAACAAGGAGGGTCCAAATCAGAACAAAGGCATCTGAATGGGAACAAAGGGAAAACAAAAGTGGAATGGTACCGAAGGTCATAGGTTAGAACCTGTGGTACATCTGAAAGAAGATAGGGAGGGCGAAGCCCAGAGGGGCAGGAGGATGAGGTGAAGTGGGGATGGTGACTAACTGGCTAGAATGGAAAGAAGCAGCTGTCATATCCATCCCTGGCCATCGACTTCCGGTTCCTCCGATCCCTCCGGTCTAACTCCACTCCTCCCTCACTAACCTCGGAGCCCCCGTATTCCGCAATCCTCTCGGTACCCCTCGATGGTCACCACCCCCTCATTTCAATTTATTACCTACGCCTCCCTAAGTATGGAGCCCCGAAGACTTCCGGACAGCTCCGACGTCCACTAGCGCACCCCCGCCTCCGCTGGGCAATACACTCGCCTGCCCTGCAGAGCCCACCTTCAGGCCTATCCCTCCTTTCCGTTTCTGGGTTATCGCCTGCCTTTCTGCTAACCCCGCGAACCGACTCGTCGGTAATATTCAGTCGGCTAATGTTTAAACCCCATTAGCTCCGCTCCGTTCGGCTCCGCCAATTGCGGAACCGTCTCCGCTGTAACCATATATATATCCCACTTGTACATAGGTTACACCCCAGTAATAAAATCAACTAGAGTTACCCCCCCTTCGGTTCTGATTGCCAGTCAGTAAGTTAGGGCACGGACGTGTCACTAGGCACAGCGCTCTTGGCAGAAGTCGCTGAGGCCAAAGCCCTCCGTCATGGAGACTCTCCCTCGTCTCGAATCCGGTCTCTGACAGCAGCAGTCCAAATAAGGATGAGGGGAAAACGCAAAAGATACATTACAAGCAGCGAAAGTGCCAAGTATGATCCATGGAGCTCGGAGGTTATGGAGGTTACGGAGGCGGGGTTGGAAGTCCGAGGAATATTGGCAATGGTGTTTATGTAGTATGAGGTCACCAATGCAATGGACTTAAGCCGAGGTGGAGTCAAAGTCTGAGGTTGGAACTATGATGGAATCTTGGAGCGAAGGTACGAGTGGCATCTGAGTACAGGGTAAGGGACAGCGGCGGAAGAGGGTCAGAGGGAAGAGAGAGAAGCGGGGTGAGGAGTGGAGGAGAGGAAAGGTGTCAGGTCCGAAGGTGAGTATCGGAGCAGACGGGAGAAGGGTAGGAGAGTGGTGGAAGGGTGGAGGTGGCGTGAGGAGTAAGAGGAGGAGTAAGAGGAGGAGGGTGGTGAGAGGAGTGATGTTCGGTCTGAGGTGAGTATTGGAGCGGATGGAGATAAGGTAGGAGAAGGACGGAAGGGTGGAGGTGGCATGAGGGGTGAGAGGAGTGGTGTCAGGTCCGAAGGTGAATATCGGAACGGACAGCGGTAGGGTAGGACTCCGGAGGTGGTGAAGATGGGGGTCTGGGAGTCAGATTGGGATCGGGTATGTACGGATATGACAGCTGTGAGCAGTACTCACCAGTTGGAAATTGAGAGCATCGAAGAATAGGGTTAGCAGTAGGCATAAGTGGTGGGGAGAGAGAAAGAGCTAAAAACAACAACAATAACAACAAGAGATATCAGACCAAGTGAGATACACCAATGACCTTACACTGACAGGCTGAGTTGTTCCAACATAAAGTCATCATGCTCCATTTGCATAATCCCACCACAGACTACACCTGGAGGCCACACAACATCCCCAAGATTGTTCAAAGTAGTGAGATAGCAAGCTTCACCATGCTTTCCTGCCCAATCAGAGTCCACTAGCATTGCATGGTCTTTGGCTTGGCCTGTCTTGACAAATCATAATGTTCGGCTGCCTCAAGTCACCAAATACAATGTCCTTCTGATGCAGCACTTCTCACGTCCTCAATGAGGGGGGGGCGAAAGTGGATGCTCAGGGTACATCGAGAGTGCATTATGCCCCTCAAGAAGATCCATTACAACCATGATGATGCCACCACCACTGGCTTACAATGGTAAAGGGTGGGTGCAAGGTTGATCTTTGCCAGAGACTTGTGGGCATCTTGACAATAGCTATCAACAAACTTGACAAAAAGCAGTGTGTTGTCTTGACTGCAAGTAGCTCCAAAGATTGCATGTCTGTTGCTCACTGAGTAGTCATATCGTAACATCTTGCCAACTGAACTGAACTCAGTGTGGTAAGGGAAAAGTCGTGGGGTAAGAAGATCAGTGGATGCCCACTCAAGACCCTCGTAGTATATCTCGAGCTTGCCCAGGCATCCTTCCAAGACATGGAAAATCTTTGCCACTTGCCCCACCCAAGCGGCATTGAAATGTTTTCCACCAAGCCACAGGAATTCAGTTAATGGCTCTATGACGGGCCTCTCAACAAACATGACACCCAGAACCATCAAATGTGGTCCAGCTATGCTGATGATGAAGACTGGACAGCAAGAGAGCCTTTGCAGTGTTTTGAATCTGGGTTGTATAGGCTCAATTACCCTGTATCAGAGGAAATGAAGGAACACACCATTCCTCAGCCCAAACCTTTCAGGCCATCATTGCACCTTGAACAGAGGGATCTGTGTGGGCTGTTCCAATCTCATTCTTCAACTCCAGATAAAGAATCAGCACATGCAACCCTGTAGGTGTGCCTACATGTACAACACCATCCACTCTTCCCCTATTCACAGCTGCCCAAATACCTGTTACCCAGATGTTACCCTGGTGGGTGCTCCCATCCTTGTAAAGAGCTGCTGATTGGATGAACAGAGAATGGGTGTCCTGAAGCCTGTCTGAGGTTGGCACCACATCTGGACTTTGTAGCCCTTTGATGAAGTCTTTGAACACTGAGTGATAGATGGAAATCGGGTGACTATGCTGTTCATATGGGCAACCATTATAGATTGGATACCTAGCTTGCTCTGTGATGAGGTTTGAAATTCATGCAGCCCCCAATGGACTCTGAGCAGCATGTGCTTGATCAAGAGCCGTTTGTAGCCTGTAACATTGTAATCAACCATCACAGAAAGTGAAACAAAAATCATAACTCAGCAAAATGAATTGAAATAAAATATCAGAAAAATATTAGTCAATGAGCTGAGTATCCATGCAAACTTTAGAGATTAATCCAGAAAATGAAGAAAAACAGCAAGTAAACCCACATAAAAATAAAAACAAGGTTTCCTGTATCAAATAAAATCTGAGAAATCCATGGTAACATGGGAAAATAGTTTTATGAATGTACAAAACAAATGAAAAAGAAAAATCAGAAGAAAATCAAGGAATTCACACAATGAAAAATGGTTGGGTATGAGGAAGGGATGAAAGAATTAAAATATTTATACAAGGAAAATAGGGAAAAATGTTAATCTTTGTCAGTCTTAAAGAGTTGAAGTATAGGTCTGTGTGCGAAAAAATTTTATGTTAAAATCTGAAGAATTGAGGGAGAAATGGATTTAACAAGTTTACAACAAGCTTGCAGAGAAGACTGGCTCAAATGTCCTGAGTTTGTGGTGGAAATAGATGAGCTAGCTGAGCGAAACTAAGGAGTTTGGGTCCAGGAATAAGGCATAATTTATCCAGAATTAATTGTCAGAAAATGGATGAGTTAATGGCAGAGCAATCTGGAGAACCTCAAAATTAAATCTTGAAAAATTCATATCTTCATAAATAATCCTCTTAGTTTACTGTTGTTTATACTAGCAGAAAGCCACACCTTTAAGCTAACAAATAACCTCATGGCATGTGACTTAGAATAAAGTGAGTAAACAAGGGTAAATAAGGTCATGACAGGTGTTAGGTAGTGCAATCAGCTGATTTCCCCACCAAAACTTCCAGAAGCAGAAGATTACTAAGCTCAATACAAGATTACTCAGCAATGTAAATAGTAATGTGACATGTGAAAACAGAGCCCTTAGGAAAGGTATAAAAGACCTTGCTTTCTGGTCTGACCCCTCTTCCTTCTTTACTCCTCTCCCCTATGTGCTCTGGCTCATAGGTCATGAGGCAGTCCTAATAAAAATAAGTTTTATTAGTATTAGTGTGCAGTTCAGATCACACCTGAGTAAAAGTGATCAACCTTCAGTAGAAAGTTAAGAAGAAGTTAAGAGAAAGTGACATTGAGCCAAGTTGGTTAGAGTTGCTCTGAGTTAAAAGTGACAAGACAGAGGCGAAACAATGGAAAATAGTAGGTCTATAGCATGATTTTTGTGTGGGATAATCAGGCAGACAAGTGCCTTGAACCCTGAGAGTTACATACACACACAAACACTTAGTAACACATATAAATATCAATACACAAAGCAACCAAAACACTACAGTGATTGAGTTAAAGTACCAATACTAACAGATAGACATCTAAAGAAAGAACAGCCTTTTATAAGATGTTCTGTTCTCCTCCACCATACAGGGTTCCCAGCACTGGGCATGTCTGCATTACAGATGTGGAAAGAAAAATTGTCCATGTGGAAATAGAACAGAGAACAGAGAACAAAAGAAGTAGAAGAAAAAGAGAAGGAAATGAGGAGGATGGCAGGGCATGCCCTGACAGACAGGGACAGGGATGGGTGGTCTGCTGTGCCCTGACAAGGGGTTCATCAGACCAGTTCCTAGGAGCATCACAGCTTTCAATTGCCTTCATGATATCAACCTCCAGTTTTAGCCAGTTGTATGGAAGGTGATTGAAGAGAATCTTTGTGACCCAATGTTGATCTTTGAGCACTTCCACTCACTTGTATGTATGTACACCCAAAAGTGTAGACATCACTCTTTGTGGTGGCATGTGGATTGGCTCCTAATAATTCTGGCACCAGGAATTGGAGCATCCCCCCTGGGACAGAAGTGGTATGCCCTGTCTGAAGACCATCAAGAATACAAGATAGTCCAGAATCACACAACTGTGCACATCCCAGGTTGTTGATCATGATATTGAGCTGGACAATTCTGATGAGGAGCACTTGCCACATCATTCTGGGGACATAGTGGTTTAAGATCTGCATGCAGGATGACAGGGTCATGACCATGGAGGTATTGCCATCCCTGAGCTACATTGGATAATTCATGCACATGGATGGACCAGAGTATGAAGTAGATTCTATATAGATGCTTACTAGCATTACATGGTGGGCAGCAGGGTTCTGCTCCAGATACTTGACAACAGTGCCATTTGCACACCATTCCAACACAAGAGCAGCATTTATTCCTTGGACCTCCATCTCTATTGCATAACCAATGGACTGAACAATATTGGGGTGTTTGAGATTCTTCCAAACCCCCATGTCTCCTCTTAAGTGCTGGAGGCAGTAACACAACCTATGACATATCATGCATTGAAAAGATAAACAGGCCTCACTTTCATAATTTTCTTGGTGTTCTCCATGGCTGTTGCACCATCCCCAATAGGTGGATGAAGCACCTTATAGCAAAGCTAAGGGAAATCATGAATCAGGTTAGCCAGGGAAGATTACAACAACACACAAGGACTGAATTGGCTCCAACAGGAGGCCTCCAGTAGTGGCAGAACACCTCTGAATACCCCCTTCATGTTTTTTGACAAGTGGCTATCAAAACACTGGCTCTGTGTCATATCCGTGCATACCCAACCCCGCCCCAACTTCTGGACCTCCTCCTTCCCCACCTCTGGAATCCTACCCTACCGCTGTCCATTCCGATATTCACCTTCGGTCCTGGCACCATACCACCCTTCACCTCCCATGCCACCTCCACTCCTCCGCTCCCTCCTCACAACACCTCCACCCTTCCATCGTCCTCCTACTCTTCTCCCATCCGCTCCGATACCCACCTTCGGACCTGACACCTCTCCTCTCTTCCTTCCCCTCTCTTCCCTCTGGTCCTCTTCCACTGACCTCCCGCCAAGTTACGACCTCCCACTGCTGACCCGTACTTTGTACTCGGGCACCGCTTGTACCTTTGCTCTGAGCCTCCATCATAGTTCCTACCTCGGACTTTGACTCCACCTCGGTCTTAGTGTCAGTCAAAGTGGTGTTGACCTCCTTCATGCACCCATGTCAGAATACTGCCATTTCCCACTATTTCTTTAATCTTTTCTTTCTTTTATTCATGTGTGGTCATATGTATCTAGTTAAGAATTACATACCCCTGGTCCATCTTGGACAATCATCAGGGATTCCTTATAATCCTCAAGGAGTCAAGCTTAGAATTTCTTTTCTACTTGGATCTCTCAGCACTACAGTCTCTTTGTAGTCAAAAGGGAGGTCACTGTTCCATTCCTATGTGTACAGAGCTTTTAAACACATGGAACAGCAATAATGTGGAAAAAAAATGAAAAAATAAAAATAAAACGAAAGATTGTTTTGCATTGGTGATCTCATACTACGTAAACACCATTGCCAATATTCCTCGGACTTTCAACCCTGCCTCCGTAAGCTCCACAACCTCTGAGCTTCGCGGATCATCTTCGGCACTTTCGCCGCTTGTAATGTATTTCTTGCATTTCTCCCTCATCCCTATTTGGACTGCTGCTTCTTCCCATTTTAGCCAGTAATCATCATCCCCACTTCCCCTCATCCTCCTGCCCCTCTGGGCCTCACCCTCCTTACCTCCTTTCGGATGTATCATAGGTTCTGCCTTATGACCTTTGGTACCGCTCCGCTTCTGATATCCCTTTGTTCCCATTCGGACGCCTTTGTTCTGATTCGGTTCCCCTTCGCTTCCTTGTGCTTTTGCCCCCTCCATTATATATATCGGCGCTTGTACATACTCGTAGCGGGCTCAGTCCGAAATCGACCTGAAATGCCCCCTAGAGACTTCCTGCTCGCCTACTGTGAAATTAAGGACCAAATGGACAAACAGCAATGGCACAGCGCTCCGCTTGAGTTGCTGAGGCCAAGGTCCCTCCACGCTAAGTCTCCGATTCCACTCCGGAGTCATCTGAATCCGCCCGTTCTAACACTCTGAGTGCCCATAGGGTAGACAATGAGGCCAATGACAGTCAAAACTGCAGTAGTGATGATGATGCCAATGGCAACATGCTGTTGGTCTGCAATGAGAGCAATGGCATATTAAGTATGTGGAAAAGAAGGGAAATTCCCTTCAATAACATCTCAGCAATAGGTTTTTTGGACTTGGATGCTGGGTTCAGATGCTCGACCTTTGGGATGCTGGGAGTTGGAATGGACATTGTGAACAGGGAAAGAGAAAAGGTCATCAGTATATGGGTAGATCCAAGGGAAGCAGTAGAAGAAGGGATAGCAATACAATACCCCCCAGTGGCATACTGGTGAAAGACTGATAATATGGTGGAGTCATCAAAAATCCAGGGGCAAACACAATCCCAATTGTCCCAGTGGTTGTCATATCCATCCCTGGCCATCGACTTCCACTCCCTCCGATCCCTCCAGTCTACCTCCACTCCTTCTTCACTAACCTTGGAGCTCCCGTATTCCGCAATCACCTCGGTACCTCTCGATGGTCACCACCCCCTCTTTTCAATTTATTACCTACACCTCCCTAAGTACAGAGCCCTGAAGGCTTCCGGACAGCTCCAACGTCCGCTAGCACACTCCCACCTCCGCAGGGCAATACACTCGCTTGTCCTGCAAGCCCACCTTTGGGCCTATCCCTCCTTTCCGTTTCTGGGTTATCGCCTACCATTCCGCTAACCCTGTAACCCAACTCGTCGGTAATATTCAATCAGCTAATGTCTAACCCCATTAGCTCCGCTCGGCTCGGCTCTGCCATTTGCGGGCCCGCTCTCGTTGTAACTATATATATACTCAACTTGTACATAGGTTACACCTCAGTAATAAAATCGACTAGAGTTTACCCCCTTCAGTTCTGGTTGCCAGTTTAGTAAGTTAGGGCACAGACATGTTACTTGGCACAGCACTCCTGGCATAAGTCACTGAGGCCGAAGCCCTCCGCCACGGAGACACTCCTTCGTCTCAACCTGGTCTCTGACAGTGGTACTGTTATGGAAATGGGAAGTTCCCATTTTTAGCCTCTTATGGCCTCTGTAGAGTACATTATCATGTGGCATGTGTATATTAACAACAAAACCAACTACTATTACCCAAAAACACCATTCTGTAAATGCTACTGTGACAACACCTGCTATACTATCTGTAAAACCTTGATGTCCACCTCCTCCCCTGCACCTGAACACTATAGAAATGGGCCAATTAGGCCCCATTTTTATAACAGGTACTTAGCTTTAATCTATTCACAAGCAAAGGAAAAAGAAGATAGTATCACCATGAATGCAACATACACCTTCATGGATTACTGCATGCAAGGACAGCAATTGAACACCTGTGGGCAGACATAGGAATACTGAGAGGCGCATTGACACTGTTGTGGGAACGTGTCATATCCATTCCCAGCCATCGACTTCCGGTCCCTCCGATCCCTCCGTTCTACCTCCGCTCCTTCTTTACTAACCTCGGAGCTCCCATATTCTGCAATCCTCTCGGTACCCCTCGATGGTCACCACCCCCTCCTTTCAATTTATTACCTACGCCTCCCTAAGTACGGAGCCCCGAAGACTTCCGGACAGCTCCGACGTCCGCTAGCGCACTCCCGCCTCTGCTGGGCAATACACTCGCCTGCCCTGCAGAGCCCACCTTCGGGCCTATCCCTCCTTTCCGTTTCTGGGTTATCGCCCGCCTTTCCGTTAACCCCGTGACCCGACTCGTCGGTAATATTCAGTCAGCTAATGTTTAACCCCGTTAGCTCCACTCCGTTCAGCTCTGCCATTTGCGGACCCGTCTTCGCTGTAACCATATATATATCCAACTTGTACATAGGTTACACTTCAGTAATAAAATCGACTAGAGTTACCCCCCTTCAGTTCTGGTTGCCAGTTAGTAAGTTAGGGCACGGACGTGTTACTAGGCACAGCGCTCTTGGCATAAGTTGCTGAGGTCAAAGCCCTCCACCATGGAGACTTTCCTTCGTCTCGAACCTGGTCTCTGACAGAACGAGTCCATGCACTGCAGAAATCCCAAATTAGTGGGTTCCATCCAGTAACACATACAACATATCTGGTGGTTCTCTCCTTATTTCTTGCATCACTATCCTACATCATACACACTCTTTTCATATTTTTCCATATTTTCCCCCAATGCCCCTGATAGCCCCAAGTCTCCCATGCCCAACACACCAAACTTCATCCCCTCAAATTTCCATAGTTACACATCAAAACCTGGTCATTTTCTGGATGCTGTGTCAGTGTCAGGGCACACCCACCTGACCTGGCCCTACCCAGCCCCACCTCACCCAGTACCCCAGGACCCACTCTTCCCCTGCTTCCCTCTTCTTTCCCTTCCCCTCCCTTCCTTCCCACTTCCTCACTTTCCCCCTATTCTATTTCCTCTTTATTCTCTCTTTATTTTACACAGACGACCTTCCTCTGTATCAATGTACCATTGACCCACCCACAGCGTGCACATGACACACCTGGCCTGGACATCCTGGGTGACTTCCCACTGTGCCCAGCATGCACACTCACACTGGATGCCCCTGGGATCCCCCATGGAGACACCCAGGTGGTCATGGCTGTGTGCGATGTATCTTTGCCCTTCTGCATCCTTAGGAGAACAAAATCATATAAATATTTAATTTTCTCCACTATGTGTAGAGGTGCACAGCAAAAAGACTCAATTTGGTGCAGGTAAATGAACCATCTTTGCAATATAAATTTTGCTTAGAGACCAGGACTGGGAAAGATTTACTACACCCATGGGAACTTTGGAAACCATTCAAAAGAGTAGTGCAGTACTTCTACTGTTGCCTATACATTGAGTTTGTAACCCAAAGGCCATATTGATTGTCTCCACTGGATGCAAAAGACCCTGAGTCAATAGCTGCTCTTGTTCCTGAGTTATTTAATAAACACACTTGTGCCCTTGGTCCCATTGTCCAACTTTGTTTCTTGAATAACTTCACAACAAGGGACCCACTCCACTCAGGGTTTTCTGCATTGTGTCTATATTTTCAATACCTATCTTTTGATATTCTATACACTCCAAATGAATCAATTCTCAACTTGAGCTCAAACACTGAAACTCAGGGCACAACTTTGTTTCCTTAATAACTCAGTAACCATGACAGCTATTCACTCGGGGTCTTTTGCATCTTGTGGAGGAGATCCATACGGCCTTTGGACACTCATTTATATCTCATAATATTGAGAACTGGATGAGTAATGGCCAATGGCACAATAGGGCATGACTAGGGCATAACTGGGCATGACAATGAATTGGCCATAACTCCTGAACCGTTTAACGGACTTCCATTC